TGAGAAAAAATGGTTTTAATCCTGGCTGTTTTCACTAAACAGTACCAGGAACCGTTATCACCAGGAGCCGGTTCATGGAACTGAATGTTTGTGGCTGTAAATCGGTCAAATTGTGAAGATTTAGCTTCAACCTCAGCACAAATGTTTCTTCATCTGCCAAACGTCTCCAGTTCCTGGTTCCTGGTGTTGAACCGGTTTCTGGTACTAGTTCCAGTTTCTGGTACCAGTGACTGTAAGCACCAGCCAATCAGGATGCATCACCTTTTCTCCTGTGGTATTTTCTACTTTCAAACACTTGTTAAACCTGGGTCATACTTTCTGGTGTCTGATGGGTTAGTTAGCGCCACCTACTGGTCAAGCAGCAGATGGTACAACGTCCCCAGCTCCAGTTCTTTAATATATTTTTAGTTCTACTGGATCAAAAAGCAGCTGTTTTTCATCCAAATATGTTTTTAAACCTAAAACCTGAACTAATCCCACAACGTCAAATGTTTTTTTTTTAAATAAAATCCAAATTGTAGCACATCTTCCTTCAGACAGATGGCGCTGAAAGTATGACCCAGGCCAAGATGAAGATGCTTTCATAACATGGATGATTTGAATTTCTAGATTTTTTAAATGTGGGACCTTTTTAAAAATAACTTGTGAGAAATAAAAAAAAATTCTCAGAGAAAAAGTCTTTTTTTTTTTACCTTGAAAACTTTTATTTGACTTGTATTCCTGTGTAGCCGCGCCCCCTGGTGGAGAGTTTTAAATCATTTATTTGACTTGTATTCCTGTGTAGCCCCCTGGTGGACAGTTTTAAATCCTACAGATTTAACCTGACAATCAGACGTCACACATTTTAAAGCAGTGCAAAGAAATGTGGGGGCGGGGGGGCAAACCTTGTCTTTATGCCACATGGGGGCGCTCTGTCAGGGTCTTCTTTCTCTACTTGACAAATTCAACTTCAGTTCAGTTTAGATTTGTATTCTTTAATTCAGATTTCAAACATTCTCTTGTTTACTTCTGTGAGAATGCTGCCTCCTGCTGTTCGAAGTTGGTACTGCATCTTTAGCAAGCATTACTGGCCCAAACTGACCCACCGCCGCAGCCATGTGACCAAAAGTCAGAGAGGTCAAAGGTCCGGATCAGAGAAGTTCCACAAACTGTTTCAGTCACAGGTTGCTCCTCCACTTCATGTTTGACGACTCTGTAACTGACGAGAGAGAAAAGAGCGCGGTAGTCTGGTGAAAACCCGGCGCCCGCGGTCAGGTGTGGTCCACTCACCTGAGCTGATCTTTCCGTCCTTCTCCAGTTTCCTCAGGTGGTGGAGCAGGTTGACGTTGGCAGCCTGGTGCAGATGTTCAGGGGTGTCCTGAAGAACAGACGTCACGTCTGACATGAAACTGAGACTGAAGTCCAAACTGAAACGGTGCGGGCCGGTTTCTGCCCCTGACCCTCAGCTTTGTTGTTGTTGTTGTTATTCCTCTCTGCAGTGACTTTGACTCACCTTGTACACGACCTTCACCAGCTCCATGGACGTTAATGGTTTCCCGTCTGCATCGAGAACTGCCTCCAGGATCTGCTGCTCCCTCTGCTGGCGGTGACTGATGTAGTGCGTGATCTTGGAGGCAGCGTCATGAACCACGGGGCCGTGCCCTGCCGACAATAAAGAACACTGTTACTGAGGTCCACTCTTTAGCTTTTTAAGCTACGTTAGCTCTGAGCTAACAAACAGTAGTACCTGGTACCTGGTACCCTCTTGTACCTGGTACCCCAGAGTACCAGGTGCCTGGTACCCCAGAGCTGAGCAACATTTCAGCTAACAACTGTGTTCTAACACCTCCTCCTATGTCGTTGAGTGACATTTAGCCTTAGTAATTTAGCCGCGGCGTTAGCGGTTGGACTCCGTTCGTCAGAGGTCCGTGACCCACCGGGGTAAATCAGGTCGACCCGCAGCTGCAGCAGGACGTCCAGGGACTTCATGTAGTCGTGGAGGTCCTCAAACACGGCCGTGCCCTCACCCAGGATGCAGTCTCCAGAAAAGACTGCCCCCTCTTCTTCCAGCAGCAGTGCCATGTGGTCGTCGGTGTGACCGGGAGTGAAGAGGACTCTGGGTAAAAAAAAAACATGGCTCCCGTAACACCTGGGTTCTTCAGGTCTTGGTTTCATTCCAGCCTGATCCTGGTTCTAAACCGTGTTGACTGACTTGAGTGTCGCCCCCTCTGTCTGGACCACGTCCCCATCTTTCAGGTAGGTGTAGCTCCTTTCTCCGCCCGTCTCTTTGGCGTGGTCGGGGCGAGGGAGTTTGCTGACCCGCACCTCGGAACCTGCAGAATGTTGAAGTAGAAAACTTCAGATTTACATTCATTCATTCATATTTGACAAAGAAACTCAGTTTGTTTTTTTCATTTTCGTTAATTTTCTGGCTAGCTTTCTGACGATAAAAGTTTTCGATATCTTTCGGCTCATGAGTCACAGTTTTATGGGAACTCTCTGTTGACAACCGGCAGGATAACGAAGATTATCAGTCATGTCTTCACCTGGAGACGGGGGTTAAACGGGTTCCACGGCTTTCTCACCCGTGACGTGTCGACGAATATCGTCGAGGCCTCCGCTGTGGTCGTGATGCCAGTGCGTGACGACGATCTCCTGGATGCTGCTGTTGTAGCGGCTCAGCGTCTGCTTCAGGCTGGAGATGTACTCAGGAACGGCGGCTTCTCCCGTGTCGATCAGGACGCGCCTGGAACACGAGTGTTTTCAACAGACACCGGTCAAAATGGCACGACTTCACGTGCAATTCGATCTAAAGAGCAACATCGCGGTTAACGGTTCGCTAACCTTTGGACGTACCTCGGTTGAGCTTCATTTTCAAAGTCAAAACTTGAGTTTAAATGTCTGATATTTGTCATTTCCACCATCACTGCGGTGGAAAAGTTAACTCTCTGTTTGTGTGTCATCTTTTACCACGACACGCACGTGTCAACTTCAATCAACGTTAAACGAAGAATACGAATCTAAGAACTTATTTTTATTTTTTAATTTCCAGTGCCGTCTCCCTGCCGTCACCTTTTCCCGGTTCCGACCAGGTACGTGTTGGTCCCTTGCAGTGTCATTGGTCCGGGGTTGCAGCCCAGGATCCGGATCACACGGGCAGACAGCTGCTCGATCCGGGGAAGAACGGCGCTCATGGCGGCGGTAAGTCTGTCGAAGGACCGTTAACGGAAACTGACGCGTTGGAGTGAAGTTAAATTAAAGTAAATACACTCGACAGTTTCACGGTAACCTAGCAGGAAGTCCGCAATTACCGTTTCCTGTGAAGCGGTCACCTTCAAAATAAAATTCTCCTCGTATTCAGGTAGAATAATAATCAAAAGTGCGCGAAACGAGGTCACCTAGTGGAAGTTAGAAACACTATTTTAATAATTTTTTTAAATAACTTTTTTTAATATAAAATATTAAATACGAATAGTCCGAAGAAAGATGGTGTCGAGACAACTGCACACTGGTTTTATTTTGACTCTCGAACGACTCTGGTACATAATCTGCTATAATGAGGCATTGGCGACATCTAGTGGCTAAAGGAATAAAATATCATACACGGAAAGTAACTAAAGAGCAAAGGATAAAACAAAATACTTCAACTACAGAAACAAAGTACAAACATGTTTGAAAGGCACTACATTATAAAATCGACAATTTTGCTCCTTATTTTATTCTGAAGGTCAAACGACGATATTTGTATTAAGTCTTACTTAAAATTTTCTTCGAACGTTTTAACAAAAACGGTTATCTTTATTTTCAGCTGCTAACGTTCTCTGTACTTGAACGGTTAAATGTGTCGCCATTGTTGTTGTTTTCAGATTAGCGGCGCGTCAAACTACTCTACCATCTGTGTACGTTTCCCGTAGTTGCCTTTACAAAATAAAATGTCTATCCTCGCATAAAAATTAAAACGTTGATTCTACCGGAAGAACTCTTGCTGGCAGTTATGACGTAGCCACTAAAAGGTTAACTTTAAGCCAAGCTACATCAAGATTTGCTCCCTATTGTTGCCCATTTTTATCCACCTTTTTTAACCACAACCCCATAGCTTTTTTTTTGCTTTTGTACGTATATCGCTATCTGATTTACATAAATATTTGGCTAATGTTGGCTAATTCCATCGACTTTTATTATGTACGTTAGAAAGGGTGTATTATTTATTTTAGGCTAAACCTGACGAGCTAAGTAACTAGCTGGTCTCTTCCGGTGTCTGCGCAACCAACTAACGCAGTGAGTGTATTTTGAAGCGCTCCGCTACTTCCGCTTCCGTATCGGCGTCATCACTGCAGCTTGACGCCGTTGTTTTGAAAACAGCTCTGAATCGGCAGCAGCAGCAGCAGCAGCACTGCGGTGTTTCCGCTCACTCTGCTCCTCCACCATAACTCCTTCCGTCTCCGTCTCCCCTCATTCGACGCTCCCTCTCATCTCTTTGTTTTAATTTAGTATTTTTAATCCGTCACTGAGGAGGAGACATGGGGGATAAATGACAGACAGTCGCCGGCCGGGAGGACAGCTGGTGCGGCGGGGTAGAGGTGGAGGAGGTGGAGGAGGTGGAAGATGCCCTTGACTCCAGATAGGAGTTGGAGGAGAAGGGGCATTAGGTGGAGGAGGTTATAAGGAGCAGCAGGACCAGCACCAGGCACAGGGACGACAGAAACCCCACCGAGGAATGTGTCTGTGACATTGAGGCTGTGTGATGTTCTTCACCACCAGCAGGGGCGTCAGAGATGCTGCAGCGAGCTCTTCAAGTTCACTATGTCCCTGGTGGCCAAGGAGCAGCAGCAGCAGCATCAGTGTCCTCCTGAGGAGTCTGCTCCTGAAGCGCTCTCTGCTGGTTCTCAAAGGTTGGATGGCGGCCGTAGGAGACAGCGTGTCCTGAGATAAGCCGTGCTTTGTCTTCAGAAGGTCAAATTTGAACATTTCTCCGGGACCTATCGGTCTGTGATTGGCTGACCACCAACCGGGGGGGATTAGAACCTGAACCCTGTGTGCTGACGCTGGGATAGCCCTGGAACCGATGAATGTTCCAGTGTGGTGACCTGGACGTCTGATCAGACGGATCCACCTCCTCAGGAAACTGAAGTAGGAAAGTTTGACTCCAGTTTACAACAAATCTAAAACAAACCAACCTACGATCGTTGACACTAATTGAGTTGGTTGTGACTGACGATGGCCGACGACCAGGAGATGTCCCAGACCCTCGAGAAGGAGGACGGTTCCTCCGGCGAGGAAGCAGGTTCCACCTTCAAGTCTAAAAGTATGCCAGTTCTGAACGAGGCCGCGCCTCAGAAGGAAACCCTGTTGGCTAGCTCGGTGCGGATGTCGATAACGGCAGAAGAGAGCGCCGAGTTCATCCAGCTCCCTCCTACAGCTGAGTCCTTGGAGGCGGAGTCCCCAACAAGGACAACTTACCTGCCCAAGTCGGGGAAGTCGGCCCTCAACCGGCCCAGCTCCTACATGGGGAGCACGGAGATCTGCAGGAGCAAAAACGCAGTGAACAGGGCGCCCTCTAGTTTTTTTGCATCCAGGGTGGCACAGATCCGTCTGCCCGCTAGGAAGTACCTGAACGTGATTCTGCAGGATTCCCGCTGCTTCCTGTTCTGCATGTGCTACCTGACGTTCATCCAGTCCCTGATGGTGTCGGGTTACCTCAGCAGCGTCATCACCACCATCGAGAAGAGATACAGCCTCAGGAGCTCCGAGTCCGGCCTGCTCGTCAGCTGCTTCGACATCGGAAGCCTCATTGTGGTCGTCTTCATCAGCTACTTTGGCGGGAGGGGCCAGAGGCCTCGCTGGTTGGCGGTGGGCGGGGTTTTCATTGCCGTTGGCGCCGCCCTTTTCTCCTTACCTCACTTCATCTCACCTGCCTACCAGATCCAGGAAGTCAACTCGTCCTCCGCTAACGAGGGCCTGTGCATGAACAGCAACGCCAGTGGTAGAGACCGCATTGACGTCACTTCCTGTCCCCGGGACCAGGAAGGGAACGAGCATAACCTGTATGTGGCGCTGTTCATTATCGCTCAGATCTTGGTGGGCATGGGATCCACACCCATCTACACCCTGGGGCCAACCTACCTGGACGACAACGTCAAGAAGGAGAACGCCTCGCTCTACCTGGGCAAGTCTTCGACATTACCGAGCTAACCTTTACCGTGATTTTGGCTAGGCCTTTAAGCTAACCTTTAGCTACCTCTGTGCTAACTTTCAGCTCTGACCTTTGACTTAACTGATTTCAGAAATGTTGTAGATTGTTTGGACCGAGGTTTGAGGCGACCAAGTTTTGTATTAATTTTGTTACTTTAAATTCTAAAAACAGTAGCATCATAATTTAACCTCTTTAGGTACTTCTAAGCTAACCTTTAGCCTTGTCTACACACAGATGCATATAAATATCGTTGAACGAATGTCGCTACACGACCTCGGTCCATCACAGTTCTGATCGAAAAATGTGATTTATGTTTTTTTATTGTCACCACTGCGTCAGCGTCCGCTGTGGAGGAGCTGTAAACATTAGCACTGTTTGACCAGCAGGGGCTCCCTAGTTCTAGGTCAGATCTTTGTAACTTTTAAATAAGACATTTTGTGACAATTATGATCATTTTAGGCTACGTTTTTATCTATCCTAACTTTAATAATCGTTAAGCTAATTTTTAACTATTTCATTTTATTTAAGCTGTCCGGGAAATAAAATGTAAATATTGTGCGACTTCTGGTCGACACTTGTCTGTGCAGGTTTCTAGAAGGTTCTAAGAACAGTTAGAGATCAGTGACCGGGCCAGTGTTGGTTTCCCTCTGGACCCTCAGCTGCAGCTCACAGGAATTTCAGGATCTAATTCTCTCTAATTGGACAAATTCAGGAATTCATAAGCTTCCCAACAGGCTTGGTCATATGACGGCCCACATGAGCCACATGACCCACATGACCCACATGACCCACATGAGCCACATGAGCCACACATGGGCTTTTGTGAGCAGTGCTTAGTGGTGGATTAGGGTTAATGTTAGTGAGGTTCAACCTGTTTTAATAACGTTTAGATTAAAACAGACACGTGAAGGTAAATCACCCTCAGACCAAAGTCCATGGAGAAAATCAGAGATTTTAGTTCAGACCAAACCTCATGGAGAAAATCAGAGATTTTAGTTCAGACCAGAGTCCATGGAGAAAATCAGAGATTTTAGTTCAGACCAACGTCCATGGAGAAAATCAGAGATTTTAGTTCAGACCAAAGTCCATGGAGAAAACCAGAGATTTTAGTTCAGACCAAAGTCCATGGAGAAAATCAGAGATTTTAGTTCAGACCAACGTCCATGGAGAAAATCAGAGATTTTAGTTCAGATCAAACCTCATGGAGAAAATCAGAGATTTTAGTTCAGATCAAACCTCATGGAGAAAATCAGAGATTTTAGTTCAGACCAACGTCCATGGAGAAAATCAGAGATTTTAGTTTAGTTAAGTTTGTTTAGAAGAACAGGGTTAGTCCACAGTGTTTATGTGTTTTATGTTTATGTTTTCGTGTGTGTTGTTTGTTGTGAACCCTCTGCCTGTCGTCCTCAGCCATGATGTATGTGATGGGAGCGCTGGGTCCAGCAGCTGGTTACCTACTGGGCGGAGTCCTCATAGGCTTCTACGTTGACCCCAAGACTGTGGTCAACATTGACCAGAGTGACCCACGCTTCATCGGCAACTGGTAAAAAACACACGATTCCCTGAAGTGTCGGCTTTAAGCTGTGAACAAAACCTTTGTCATCAAATCCTTCAAATCAGTTACCATCACCCCAAAAATACTGAGCGACTCCTGTCCCTCCCCCCTCTCTCCCTCCCTCCCCCCATCTCCCTCCAGGTGGAGTGGGTTCCTTTTGTGCGCTGTGGCCATGCTCCTGGTTATCTTTCCCATGTTCGCCTTCCCCAAGAAGTTGCCGCCACGACACAACAAGAAGAAGAAGAGGAAGAAGAAGATGAACTTGGACGACTCCAGTGACGACGACGTCCTCAAGGAGAAAAGCAACAACAACAGCAA